TTTTTTTATCCTCCACTTTTATTTTTTCCTAAATTTCTTTGAAGGACACATTGGACACAATGCCAAGATATTCCAGGTTCGCAGCTAACAGCTCTTTGGGAATCACTTTGGTGGTGCAAAATACTATTTTTATGCGTGTTGGCATTCTTCATGTATTCTTCAAGAAATAGGAACAAATTATGAGTTTATTGTGGCATTTTTTTTGGTTAAGTTTTATGTTATGTATTAAAACTGCTGAAATGATGGGCCAACTTATCTCCTATGCAACATATTTATTTTTCACTGAAAACTGTAGAAAAACAGAGAAATGGCAGATTAATCAGTTCTTTCAGCGTACGAGCCGTACACTGCCTCTTCACACTACTGAGTTACACTACTTCTAGTGCAGATGACATTAGTTTCCCTAAACTTATAGTGTCATAGTTACACGCACCACTTTTGTGAACTGCCTAAATCACAAAAATACATAACATGTATTTTAACGTGTATTTAACATATTTCTATAGCATTCACCCTTGATTAACTGAACATACAGCAGTTTTCTCTTATTGTGTAAAACATATTAAGTGTGGCTTTAACCCAAAAATACCTGTATGAAAAGCACAGACTTTCGGTCCAGTCTAATAACTGGATTAGCATAGGCTAACAACTGGAAACTTGGAAATTAGTTCTTTAGCTAAACATTGCAAACTACAAGACATTTATCATCAATCGCCACTGCTGTCTGTCACTTTTATAAAATATGCCACCCAGCTTACCTGTAGAAAAACAGAAATGGCAGATTAATCAGTTAATTCGGCGCACGGGCCATATGCTGCCTCTTCACTACTCACTTACACTTCTTCTAGTGTAGTGTCAGCTACCGAAGCGTACGACACGGAGCGCCCTCTGCTGACGCACCTTACAAAACAGGAAAATGACATTAATAGTGTCCTTACCAAAATAAAGTGTCTTTGGGCATAAAATAAAATGGGGGGGGGGCGTGTGTTTATCTTTATCATTGTGCCACCTATGTGCAGACACAACACAGGTTCATCCCTTTTTACGCTTGTATAATTCATAGGTTAGTGGCTTATCAAACTAAAAACATTATTTTGAAAGTGGTTGTGTACAAGGACTGGACTGAGAATGAGTGAAAAAGCAGCCAAGGGACAGACCTTTGGAAAACCTCCAGAAAGCCTGGAGAACAACTGCTCAAGACGACTTTAAACAAAAAGAAACATGTAAAGAAATGAGGGGTGGCTCAAGACTTTTGTACAGTATCTTTCAAAACAAGACTTTACAAACTGTGAAATTGTACTTATAAAACTACTTCATATTTATGCTGTGCAAAGACATGAAATTCACTTCTGAAGAGTAGTTTTATGGGTTTTCAACAAGCAGTTTTATTTTGAAATTTAAAAAATGTAAATGCAGCGTTATGCTGCTATCTATACTGTCTGAGGTTCATTTAAAATCTTTCACAGCACATTTTCCAGTCTGGACATGAATGCTGGAAAAGATGCTGTTTTCCACTTGTGTACTCAGCTTTTTCTTTAGGTGTTTTTGTACAGCTCATCATGTCCTCTTTTCTCCTTTACACTCCTCACTTTTTTCGACTGTAGCAAGGAGTTGGCATTGATCCATCACAGTGTGTAACTGTGTGTATTTAACAGCCATTTAGTGGGACCCCAGCGGCTTTAATTAGTGTGGGAGAACCTCTGTCGCTGGCTCGGTCTCTCTCTGGGCTCATTATCCCACTTAGTGTTCTTGCTCTCTTCTAAGGGCCAGTGAAGAGGAGGACACGGAAATTGGGAGGAAGAAGGAGAAAGTGAAAGATGAGGATGTGGTGAGAAAGTGATGACATGATGAGGAAGAGGAAAAAAGGGGGGGACCACTCTTCTGGCTCCATCTGGTGGTGAGAAACATAAACTGCACTGACTTTTCTGTTACTCTTTTTTTTCTTGTTAAATTTGTAAATCACAGAAAAACGTTATTTTTTCTAACTTTATTAAATGATTTGATGAGACGGGCAATGAACTGTGGGGGAACTGATCCACTAGTCCTTCACAGTGAAGGGATCTGGAGGTTCTGTCACTGTTGAGTCAACTTATCCCCTTAGACTTCTGGCCGAGGTACTACCTGTATCTGCATGTGGTTATTTTCATGTCAAATAAATTATTATTTTTAACTGAAAAGTTTGGAATCATGGATGTAAATGGGGAAATGTTCCTATGATGAGTTTCTGGGCTCAGCCTTAGAGTGAGAATAGCTCAGAGAACTGCTGCTGCTCCACATCAAAAGGAGCAAGCTGGCTAGGATGCCCTTCTGGGAGCCTCCTAGCTGATGTCCAACAAGGAGAACACCCTGAGGCAATCACAAGAGAAGCTGGGGAGACGATGGGAGATTTTCAGTATGACAATGATCCCAAACACACTGCGAGTGCAGTAAAAGCCCACCATGATACAAAAACACACAGTGGACAGTCATGGATTTTCTGAAGCCCAGATATTACTGATGAAGTGTGGGCTCATCCTGACAGAGAACATGACAAAAGACAACATCTAATGTAGAGCTTTGAATGTCCTTCAAGAAGCCTGGAGAACTAGTCCCGCAGACTACTTAAAGGAATTACAAGAAAGATTTGCTAAGTGAGTTCCGGCTGTGTTGAAGAATAAAGGTGGTCATACCAAATATTGACTTGCAAGCTCGTTGACAAACTCTGTTTTTGTCTTATATTTCTTTGTTTTTATGTTTTCCAAGAGCTACTACTCTGAAAAATAATTAATTGAAAATTAAGGAATAAATGAGATCTAAAAAGGAAACGTTTTATGTGTTTTTATTCTCCTGTTTTCCACATTGTTGGTTTAATTGTCCTTCACTCTGATTTCCTGGCTCAGTCTGGTGACTCATTTTTATTTTCCTTTCCTTTTTGATTTTTGTTCATTTTATGTTGTTGCCACCTATTCTGTTTTACTGATTTTTTAATGTCACCTTTGTATAAAATAATTTACTCAGATCTGGAGAGGCCTCCCACCTGTTAATCATAACAATCACACAGCTTCAGATACGTTTTTCCAGTATTGATAAATTTGTTAATAACGCACTAAACGTACTCTGTGTATATAATGTCTGTAAGTAGTCATTTTATATTATTTTTATATTATTATTATATATATATATATATATGTGTGTGTGTGTGTGTGTGTATATATATATATATATGGGCTTAGCAAATTCACTGGGCCACCTTTCACAGAAGCCAGAGGACACAAATATGATTCCTCAATGCTTTGTAATTTCAGAATACATTACCTGGTTATGTTTACACATTACAAATAACGTTTAAGTTACAAAAAAGAAATCCCATGGTTTGGCCTGAAGTAGCACAATTACCACTTCTTTGTGTCTGTGGAGGTTCTCAGTCATCCAGGTCATTGTAGTCAAAGGAGCTTGCAAAGAAAAGCATCTGGACTTCTTTAAGTTGCTTGAAGACGTTTCACCTCTCATCCGAGAAGCTTCTTCAGTTCTAAGGTCAAATTGTGGG